AAAAAAAAAAAAATGCAAAACAAAAAATTAATGTTTCATCTATTGTAAATCAATTAGAGAGTAGTCGATCACAATGATAAGCAGTTATGATTATTTAATAAGAGGAAACAAGTCAAAAATCACGGCGAGAAGAGACTAAGGGATGGGTGTCATTGGGCCACTGTGGAGGAGCGGTGGCCTCATGGTCAGTGCACTCCATGCCGGATCGAGCAGACTGGGTTTGACCCCTGGCTGGGGACATTGTGTTGTGTTCTTGGGCGAGAACTTTAACTCTCACATGCCTCTCTCCACCCAGGTGTATAAATGGGTGGTGACGAACTTGATGCTGGGTGTAATCCTACAATGGACTAGCATCCCCTCCAGGGAAGAGTAGACTGAAATACTCCTAGTCACTTCATGCTACAGTAACCAGGATAAGCACCAGCCTGATGAGCCGCTTGGCTCATGTACATGCAGACGCTACCTACATATTGATACAGGAAGTGTTATCTTTTCACCTGAGCACTCGATTATCACATGCTTGGTTAGGATTTTTGAAATAATTGAGTATACGAACGTCTTGACCTTGGTATCATCTACCGTGATTCGGTCTCAGGCTCTGATTGCGTAAAATCGCACGAGCCCTGGTCTGGGATTTGCAAACATGGTTATCTCAGCGAGTATCGGGTTTTTACCATTCATCGCCCAGGTTATTACTTCAAGGGTAGTTTGTATGTCGTTAGCTCACCTTCACAGGCCTCACGGATACGATAAGGCTTGTTGTTGAAAAGAGGTAAGCACTTCTCACAGTGAGATCCAGTAGTATTCCTTTGACATTTACATTTGGAAAAGTCCTGAAAATCAATACACATCGTGCTTCTATCAAGTTTATTACTCACGAACACCTTGCATCTCAAACTCAATAATGATTCAGCAAGTTCAAAGGATGCCATAATCGTGACAGAGTTTGGATATCTGATCTTAATTTATAGCAAGGATTATTTTAGACAGATACGCAGACGTTCTTTGGGCTCGTCACGCAATCTCCCTCCCTGTGGGGGAATAAGATTGCGTGACGAGCTCAATGACGTCTGCGCAGGAGGCGAAAACCGGAGGAATTTGAAAACGCCGGCTTCGCGTTTTCGTGTGGACGGGAAACATTTTGAAAACGGAGCTGTTCGAAAACGATGACGCCACGATAATTATGTGATTTCCCTCCCCGAGCATTCTCNCTCCTCGCTACACTTACATCTGGATCACACTCCGAAGCCTGTCCATTGCAGTGGCATGAAGCTAACAAATCCCAGTCTGACACGGCAAAGTAAAAACTCCTTTTCAATGATTCTGAGACCGACGCAAGGTCCAAACCACTTGGTGTAATGTATGCCACTAATACCATTTTTATATTTGTCATGAGGAAGACAGACTGTTTCTTTATGTCGTTGACAATATTCTGTGCTTCAGCTGCATCACGTAATGGAGAATAAAAAAGCTGCAGCATAAACGGAAAATATTTACGCATTAAGAATATGACAAGCAAATTCAAATCAACAAATACTAACTGCCACCTGGACATACGTGTGGTAACAGAACTGACGAAGCAGGAATTAACATTTCAAGAAAGCATAGCGGAGATATCTGTTTACATGCAAACAATGGCGTTATTTTCGATCGCGTGTCCCAAAATTACCCGGGCGTGTGAGCACGTGTGGTTAGCAGAACAGGTGAAACCTTTTCGAACCTTTAAACGTGGTTGCATTTCCAACACGATTTTTGATCTATGTCTGCATTCGAATTTCCTTTATACTTTTAAAGGGAAGCATTCTCACATTATTCTATGTAAAAGGGCGGTATTTGTTCTGTACTTTGGATATTCTCTTTGATGGAACACATGAAGACACCCCGTCAACCTGCTCGTAGAGAAGACCACTGAACTGGACTCAGTCTGACTCAATGAGAGCAAAATTGCTGGTTCAATTAACGAGGTTTCCTACACAGTCACTTTTTCTTGTTCTCTTCTCGCCTGACGTATTTTGTCCCCTATGTGCATAATTGTAGATCTAGGTAATTATACAAAAACTAACCAACGCATTTACTTGACAATGATATCTCGACGATTTGGAAACGTCGTTTATTACTTTTGATTCTCTCAAGCCTTACTTATTCGATTGAAGCATTGCCGCTTTAACAAAACGTTTGCGAATTTTTGTCTTATATACACAGAACGTGTGAAAATTTCAATAGATTTCAATAGATTCTGTATCAGCGTCATTTCACTTTTTGCAAATAAATATCTCCATCAGTCAGCTTACCTGTAAATTAGGGTTAGTGTCAGGGTCTATCTTAAAGCATTGAACTTTCAAACCTTCCGTCTCGTTTTCTGGTGTTTCCGGCATGTTGAAAAACACCGTGCAGTTCGTTGCAAAGTACCTTATGGGACTGAAGGTTCTTCCCGAATCATTCGACTTCAAAAGGTACATCGCTGCAGGCAGTGCGTGGTAAAATGTCACCACAGACCGATAAAGCATAAAAGTTCTTCCATAGTCGACCTGTAACGCAACAGGGTACTCGAAGTTCTTAGATTTCCAGAACTTGCCATCGGCAGAGGGATCGTCAACAAAACTCGCCGGATGCTTGTTATTTGGGTCTGTCGCGTTGCAGACTTTAGTGCAGTCCAACATGACGCAATACTGTTCTGGCGGGTCTCCACAAGTTGAATTCGCTGTTACATTGAAATCTCCAGAAAGATTTGCAGGCGGCGGGTAACAAGGTCCGCTACGACACGAATCCTGGCACGAAACAAGCTGAGCTGCAAAAATATTTGCAAGTAAACAAAAAATGGCAAAGCTTAGACCAGGCTGACAAAAGAGGCGCTTCAGAATTTGCCGCATTTCCATTCAAAACTGCCACCTGCTCAACTGCCAACTGCAATTACCAGTTTTGTAATCTAGAGCTGATAAACTTCTGTAATCCTCACGTTTGAGTAAGCAGAAGTACAAGGAATATGCCAAGACTTATCCTACAGAATTTTAGAGCGGAAAAACGTAATAAGCATGCGCGAGTTTTGACTTTTCTTTGTGTATTCCAATTGCCCTTGCGAAGATAGCCGATAAAACACTGTCTCGAGTGTTTGATATATCTTCTCAATCGATACCTGAAAAACTAAGGTGTAAATGGAGAAGTAAAATCGTCAAAATCTATGCTAATTAAGACGGAATATCCAAACCTCCTTCACGGTTGTAATTTTCTTTGTTTCAACATCAAGAATGCTTGACGAGTTTGAGAATAAAGTTTCATGTTTTTTTTTGCAAACATTCGTGTTTGTTTGTTTGTTTGTTTTTTTGCATTACTCCAGGTTGGACAAAACTGTTTTTGGAGAGATAAGAAGGCAGCAAAATTAATTTGTAACACACAGTGACACTAAAATAATGAATTCACTGTTGCATTGAAATCTCCAGTAATAGTTTAAGGCTGTGGATAACAAGGTCCGCTACGACACGAATCTTGGCACGAAATCTGAGCTGCAAAAGTAATTGCAAGTAAACACAAAATGGCGAAGTTCAGACCATGCTAACAATAGAAGCGCTTCAGAATTTGCCGCATTTCCATTCAAAACTGCTACCTGCTCAACTGCAATTACCAGTTGATGCACTTTCCAGCTGATGCACCTCTGTAATCCTTGCGTTCGAGTAAGCATAAGTAAAAGGAACATGTCACTTATCACGGACTGGCGAGTGCGCGAGCAGAACAAGTGGGAGACACTCAAATGTTTTACTTGCAGGGGAGGTGACAGGAAAAAATGTAACGGGCACCGTAAAAGTTTTCAAAAAAGATTAATAACTTTAAAAAACGCGTGGTTACCCCTACATTTTATGTTATGAAATGGAAGTGGTAAGCCTATTCAACACGTGGTTAGTTTCTAGTTGTGAGGAAAACCTGTTTAGACTGTATTTTAGCTCTGTCAGAGACGCTAAAAGCGCGGTTGCAACGATTTTCAGGGTCATCTAAAACATACCAAAAATAATATGGATGTTACCACTTACCATGTAGTCTTAAGATCTTGATAAGTGTGCTTGCTTTTCTGCATGTAAAGACGAATTCTAAGGAAACCTGTCCTTTCCTTCTTTTATTCAGAAAAAGCTGATGTCAGCTTTTTTGTTGAGATTCAAGGCTAATTATCTCGAAAACATGCGTGGATACTCCCACCTTTCTTTGTGGATTGCAATAGCACTTGCAAAGATCTACTTTTTCCGCACGGTTCTAATATGGCAAAAAAGCCTTCGTATTTAGTAGGCACCGTCCTTAACTGGCCGTTATCCAGAGGCTAGTTTCGAAGTTGGGACTCGCTTTGGTAGCCATTTCCGTTTTGAAGAGGTTAAAAGAATTAGTATATGGACGGTCCGCCGAGACGAAAAAAAGTGGCCGTTGTAGAGAGAAGACTGTTGTAGGGAGGTGGCCGTTAGCGGAGGTTCCACCGTAGATTGAAACACAGTAGTGTTTAAAAATGAAAAGGTATTGCTCTCCAAGTTAATTGGTGGTTCTAAGCAAAGTGACGATATTAAAAAGTGGCAACATGTGATGAGCGTAGTCCGGTTCACGTTTAAAACATCATGAAAGCGAGGGAGACAGAGTTTTCTTCCAAATGCTACTTGTACAATAAACGTCAAAGTTGTCTACATTCTGCACGATTCTGAAAAATTGTGACAAACGACAAAAGTTTTTAATGGGAAGAAGTGTAGCAGTTGCTTGACTGGAAATCATACGCCTAATTTGAGCAATGCAAATGAAGTAAGTGTTTTATTGACCTGTTAACGCGGTTGTCACAATCTAATGGAGACTACAAATTCTCTTGTTCCGAATTGAATTATAAAAGGACAAGACCCAAATGTAAGGTAACAAACTTAAATGCAGTGGCTAAGCTTGATTTACTGTCGAAATAAAAATCTGTTTCTGAACGATAGCGTCTCGGTCTTGGCCGCTGTTCTTCGTTCTCCACTCGCCTTTGTTGCACATTTACATAACTATTAACTCCCATCGGGGGAGACATTCTAAGAGTTAGTAGTTAACGACGATAAAGGAAACTTGAGACGAATGCGCATGAGCGTCACATTTACAAAGCGGCAGACGAGATATATATTAGCTGTGGTCACACTAGAGACTTTTATCTAGGGAAACTTGACTTGTTGACAGTTTAGCCAGGGAAACCTGACATTTTGTAATGTGACCGATTTTTCTCGGAGTAAATAGCCTTCGCAGCAGCCGTTTCCTTTCCTTTTCGGGACGGAGAGATCAAGCAAGCGAGCGAAGGAGCGCGCCTAAGATGAGCAAAAACTTGGGGAGAAGTGGGGAAGGGGTGAACGAGAAGGGGGAGGGGGTGAACAGGAAGGGGGANGCCTAAGATGAGCAAAAACTTGGGGAGAAGTGGGGAGGGGGGTGGGGGGAGGCGGAGCGACAAGGGGGCGGTCCCTTCGCATGGTATTTTGGAAAATTACCTAGGGGAAATTTTATCTGAGTGAACTAGGACATGTCAAGCGAACAATGGTATTTCCAGACATGATTGATCATCGCAGTTATACACACAACTTAAGCGGTTGTGAAATTAAAGCCTGAAAAAAATTCAGGCCTGAACGGGATTCAAACCCATGACCTCTGCAAAATCGGTGTAGTGCTCTGCCAACTGAGCTATCAAGCCAGCTGGCAGCTGGTCATGTTGTGAGTTCGTAATATACCCGTAGATGGTGAAGAGTGCAAGTGAATATATGAAATATCATATTTGAACTGCCGAGAAAGATTTGAAGATATGACTGATCATAGCAGTTATATACACAACTTAAGCAGTTGTGAAATTAAAGCCTGAAAAAAATTCAAGTCTTAACGAGGGCGATTTTTTTACGTGATCCGTAACACTAGGTAATAACCATCCTCTTCTACTCTATCTGCATTTTTCATTTAACTGTATTGGCAATTTAATTTGATTTTTATCTATTTTTTTCAGAAAAGAAGTAGCCATAGATAAAACAAAATGAAAATGAATTCAATTCGAACAAAGCGTAATGAGGGTATTTTATTTATTTATTTTAATTTCCGTCAAACAGCTGTACGATAGTGTACATTAGCTCTCGAGGAAAAAAAAAAAAACATATCTCATACTGCCTTTAGCCCATAAAATAAACACAATTTTACTGTGCAATCATGCAACACTGTTCCTTCAAGAAGGTTAAAGCACGACGGATAACAATTTTTTGCTCGATTACTGTATATTTTTATTATTATAAAATTGTAGTGGTCACATGAGGAATAAGAAATATTACAGCGCAATTCAGTTTTTTTGAAGCCTCCAGGGGATACGAAAATTAGTTAAAAAGTCAGGTGGTTCCAAAAATCGGGGTGAAATTATGAAAGTTTTTTAAATTCGTGTTATCCAATTTTTGCTTTCTTTACCGGAAATAATATTCCACCTCATAAGAATTAAACAAGGTCAACGAAATTAAAACGTTCTCAATTTTATGAGTTTATTAAACTCAGGGAGGGTTTGACACATAAATTATTCCACTTCTTTTTACACAGCTAAAAGAATTTCTGTTTTTTGCGCTCTCTGGTTAATTTTTTTTCCGTAGAATTTCTTTGATTTTTATCACAGAGGCGTTTCTTTGTTTTCTGTGTTTCCATGTGGCTCTGTTTGCCTTGTCGGTTCGTGTACATTTTTCAATATCTCATTTCCTTGTAATGCATTAACATTAACGGTGACTCCAGTCTGGCTTGGTCCAAAGATTTTCCTTTCAAGTTTCTCGGTTCATGCAGCAGTTTTTCTCGACAATAACTGAATAAAAGCTACTCGAAAATTTCTTATTCTTACAACATAAATTAACGGTTGAGCAACGAATAGATTGTTTTCACTGTCACGCAATAAAAAAAAAAATCGAAAACCATCCAGTGGAAAAAGCTATGAAATTATGATGTTATAGAAGATAACTAAGTAAGCCACTTCTCCAAGTTTTAGGCCTGTGCGTTTCCCCAAACTTCAGATATTCGTCGTAATGTTTCGCCGATATTTACAGAGCCCAGTATGAAAACGCCATGTTGGTGTACCTCCGTGGTACACCAATATGGCGGCCGGAAAATAGTGTAAACATCTGGAACTTACTTTGGCTATCTAGGCGACTGATTATCAGTACTGATCAAACAAGCATTTACATAAGCACTTTTCCTAATGCGTTAACTTCTAAAAAGGCTCAAAATCATGGGATAAGTATATATTTTTCGACAAACTCGATCATAGCCTTGTGTCACGCACCTCCATAACCCTGAAATTCAAAATGCTCTGGATTCCAAACGAAGCACGCTATTGAGCTGTAAAATTGTAAACAGATAAAAATATATCGCCTCTTGTGCCTGATGAGAACAAAAACTTTGGTGGCTCTTTCGTTTTGGATTTTAGAAAGTGATGACGTCACGTGAAAACGATCTATTCAGTACTGGAAATAAAGTAAAAACACATATTACAATAAGGCTTACATTAAGGGGGATTCTCGTCTTAAAAGAGTACATAGGAATGAGCCAGAGAGTGAATGGGATATAACACAGCAAAATAACTAGATTTAGAATGACAGTAGTGTAAAAAGCTTTCTTGTTCCCTAGTATCTTCTCTTTGGCCTCTAAAGAATCTTGGTTAGCAGCAATTTGTGTAGAGGTTGAGTAACGAGGCCAACCACGATGTCAGTTGTGGATAAACAGGCGAGCGCTATGTTGGATTTGGGACGAAGCTGTGGATTGGTTGCCACTGACACCATCACCAAAATGTTGAGCGAAATGATAACAGGACAGGTGAGAGCGTTAACAACGATTCTGACGAAGTTCAGGAGAAATCTCTGCGGGATTTATAGGAAAAAATGCGAGCTGAGCCCGCCACAACTATTCAACGTGCTGTCGAGTTTGGTGAAATTCATCTTCTTTGGAGTGACTCGGTGTCTCAGAGTTTCTTTGCTTAGGGATTTTGAGATGGCTTGCTAACCTTCTTTGCTGTCCCTCTAAAGTGAGTTCAGTCCTTAATTCCCATTCCTAACTGAGTTTTCTTCGTGTGCTCCCCTTTTTTATGACCCTCTAAAATGAACAGTCAGTCCTTAATTTCTTTTACAGTCTGACTACAGAAGGTGACATTGATTAACGTTAATATACATTTTGTTTTATTCATTAGCAAGCGTAATTCTTAATTACTTTATCACAATTTGTTGAACTAAAATTGTCATTACATTAGCACATCATTCTAAAGTGCTAA